ATTAGGATTATAAAACTGAACCTAATCAGATTAGACCCCTAAAACCTTACTAAAAATGAATTAAATCTGATTGGGTAAGGAAACGACCAAAATACCCCTCATATTTTTGGGTAACTTTCCTTAAATCGACTGGCTGACTTCAAAAGGGAATATCTCATTCATACAAGCTCAAAAATTAGCAAACTCGGTGGCGTTGGAAAGATAATTCAAATACCTTCCATTTGATATATTTTGGGCCACCTAACTCATCTTGTACTGAAAGTTATGGTCATTTGAAGTTGACCCAAAACATAAAGGAACTTAGGAACGACTTGAATGAATTCTCTCTAGTTCTTTTTGGAACGGAAGGTGCTACATCTAGTGACTTTCACACTCAAGAAATTTTAAATTCCTAAAATCCTACTCACAACGAAGGATGGTTCGAGTCTTAACTCAAAAAAAATTCTGGGGTGTTACATTTGAGGTTGCAATCTTGGGTGTCGCAATCGCAAAAAGGTGACGGGGTTATGTTTGCTTCAGGGTTGTTGTGCGATTGTGTAGAGGAGAATGTTGGGCAGAACATTATGATCATGAGGGTGAGTTTTGCGATTGGAAAGGGAATGGAACATGGGGTTTGTGGGGTCTGCGATGATGTAAAAAATCAACAATCTCTCTACCTTCATAAGGTAGGGGTAAGAATGTCTACACACCATACACACCATTCTAGCCAGACTCCACTTGTTGAATTTATTACACTGAATTTGTTATCGTTGTTATTGTTACAAGAGAAGTCCCGAGGTAAGAATCTATCTAACTAACAATCCTATTTATAATTAACTTGGTAATGTACCTGTGCTTCGCACGGTCATAAATAATTGAATTAAACTAAGGCATAATCCTTTACTATTATCTAAATATTAAAAATATTAAAGAGATAGGCTCTTCAAAAAATTAATATTAAGAGTATTCTAATATGAACTAGAATAGTCTACCTTTTCAAAGTAACTTTATCTCGTTACATACCTTTCTTGTAGATTTATCATTCAAACCGTAGAACGTGTGACATTATATAAAGACATAAATTGGCACAATTTATCCAAACATTATATTCATTAAAATAAAACAGTACCATACAATACAATACAATACATTATGAAACAATACATAACAATCATCCAAATAGACATTTTACTATAGCAAAATTAGAACAGTTAAGATCTTGTTTCCAGAAAACCCAAATCTTACTGATAGAACAAAACTCAAAGTGATTTCTTGTAAGAAATTCATCAAAACACCTAGGGCACAAATAGTTTTAACTAACAAAACTAAGTTATTATCTGAAAACATGAAAAAACAATGTTGGGATATTCAAATTCTACCACTATCATCTCTGCGGCCTCTCCCTCCTTCGTTGCTACCACCGTTTGCACCATTACTAGCTTTGTCGTTGTCGCCAACTAGACCTCCCACAATTTTTCGAACCTTGTGATGCCAACACCAATTTATGTTGTTCAGAAAATATTCTCACTTGTATTTTTTCTTTGGTGTGAATAATATTCTTATTTGGTCCTTTGTTCCAGGCTCTCCCTCCAAGATTGAAAATTCTATTTTTCTTTTTCGGGGAGGAATCTTCTGAAATTCCAACATCCTTTCATTTTAAAATTATTAATATTGTAAGAATACATAAAATATATATAAAAAAAATTACGATAAAAAAAAAATAGTGCAACTACAAAATTAGTCGTCAAATAGATTACAGCTAACAAGTATTTTTTGATAATTTGTTGTTAATCCGTTATTAAATAAGATTGTACAATGATAATTTTTTTTAACCTAATGATGAGATTTATCGATTTCTAATTCCTACATTTTCTATAGTAGTGTTTTTGTAAAATAAAATTGTTGTCTAATAGTTAGCGTAACATTAACTTTACCTTGTTTTTGTGTTTGACATCCCTATTCATGAAGTTATTCATTGCTTCACCGATAAACTTTTTGACCTCCCTCTTGCAATAGTTGTTGTTTTTTTGGTTCTTCGTTGTAGACTTCCTTTTCAAGATGAAACATTCTGCCTTTCTTTTCATGGAATGCTTTTTAATAACCCTAACCTTTAAATTAATAAGAAAATTTTAATAAGAATAATGTGAATGTCTGTGCGTCTTAACATGACAATAAAAGTTTGTGTCATATAGTTAGGACGATATTTCTCTTATGATAGTAATACTGCAATCCAACAAGTTTTTGTTAAGAACTAATTATATATATGCTTTTAGAAAGTACAAATTAAACTACACTCATTACAAAGTAATTATATTACTAACTCTCATTTTTTTTTTAATCTTTGGTTAGAGATTCATTGGTCCTTAATTAGGATAAAAACTAATTATATATAAAATTTTATACAACTAAAGAAAAATATAAAATATAAAATCAAAATAACTTTGAATGTGATAGAATTGTTGTAATTTAGTAGTCCAGTTTGAAATAAGAAAAATAGTTTAATTTTTGCCTAACACACACAAAACAAATGTTCTGATTCTTTTTATTTTCAGGAATAAGATAAGATAAAACAAGCGACAATATAATTAAGTGGAGGATTCATGATATAGGTAGTGATCGATAAAATCCCAATTCGGAAGCATGATATAAAGAAAAGAAAATGGAATACATACAGAGGCGGAGCTAGGTGGGGTTTGTGGGTTCAGAATAAGCAATTAACTTTTTCGTAGATCCTGTATATGTGGTTTGAGGCTTGAAATATTGAGAACTATATATAGATAATTAAATTTAGAAGATGAAATTAATAAGATATGATTGCTTTTAGAATTTTTTTTAAAGATATTTGGTCAATATACTTATTTATTATTTGTAGAAGGTGACTCTTTTAGAAAAAAATCACGATATTTAGGTATTTGGTCAATACTTGTTTATTATTTGTAGAAGGTGTCTCTTTTAGTGGGGGAAATCACGAATTTTGGACATTTGGTCAATACTTAATTATTGTTTGTTGAAGGCAGAATGGTCGGAGACCCTTCTACTTATCCTGATTTGAGTAAGCTTATGTGACATTTAATTTTGCTGCGATGGATAAAATGTGTGGTTACACATATTTAAAAGTGAGTGAACACAAAAGTTTGAACTAAAAAATATTTAAAATATTATAGGAGTGGGGGTTTGGGGAGGGGGGGGGGAGGGAGGGGAAATTATAGCAAAATAAAAAAGAATTTAAAAATACTTTGTTTTCTTTTTTGAACTATATATATATATATAAAAGGTGTAATACATAAATATGTTATTTAATTAACTTGAACTCAGTTTGCATCTATGCTCTCCAACTTTTGGTGTGCACAATTAGACACTTAAATTTTTATGAATTTGAATAGGTAAATACATGTGTACTACGTGACATAATACACCTAGAATACCATGTCGGGGATGATTTAACATGTATGACGCCAAGTAGCTAGCAAAATACTATATAGGCGGAAAAGGGTGGGGAGTGATAGTTCAAGGTGGGATAGTCAAGTGATGGGAATTGGGGATATTGGGTGGCTGTAGAGAGGACAATGAATTTGAAATGTTACTTATGAAACTTATTTTCCTTATTTTTATTAGAAAAACAATTTTTCTAGAAAAGCAAACTCATTAAAAAGGATTTTCTAGAAAAACAAACTCCTTAAAAATGTTTTTTCTGATAAAAATAAGGAAAATAAGTTTCATAAGTGAC